GTGTATGTGGTGTGTACGTGAAAGTGCCTTGCAAGGCCAACTCGGGCCGTCGTTCCAACGAGTTGTATAATTCGCAGTTTGACACATGCTAAATATTAAATAGAAGCACCGAACCGATGCACCCACCATCGCGATTTGCCCATGACCGCCTAACAACTGCCGGTCAACATTATTTTACGCTTCACGATGATGATTGGATGATATCATCGCGGCTCGGAAGAATCATTAAAACACACACACGCACGCCAGGCTGTATACGCAAAATCAAAAGCCCCAACCGCAGAACGTTTTCTCCAACCCACAAATGCCACCAGTAGCACTACCGCCGCTACCGCCAGCCGCAGCACAGGCCAGCGTGCTGATTGGCTTTCAAGCGCACAATCACACACATGCATACGTATGACCCGCACCGCACCCTATATGCCACTCATATGCCATGAAGCACCACCAGTACTACCACCACCACCACCACCACCACGATCTATCTTCCTCTGGCAGCGCACAGCCTTCTCGGCCCCCTCAGGGCCCTAGGTTGGGTGGTACCCCCCCCTCACCTCATGGCTCCCAGGTATGTATGTATGTACGGGCCACACACACACCCCAGGTTACACCTTTGGAGGGTATAACGCAACTCTAGGAAGTGTAAGGAACACGCACGCACATACACACATACACACGCATGCACACATGCACGCACACACATCACCATGTTCACCAACCAACTCCCACACCAGCATTCGTTCACACACACCATGTAGTCTCCGATCATGCGTGAATAAGCCAGTTCCATTGCCGCCTCCGCGTACCCCATACCCACACCATCCGAGACCCCCCACATCCCCCTTTCAGCCTCATTCAGCCCCCCATCCTGAGTGTACGGCACTTGTGCCGGCGACAACACACAATGCGACAACGGCACCTCCGCTCTGGCATTGCGCGACGTTGAGCAACGTCGCACCGGGGGCCACCACCGCCACCACACACACCGCCCAGCCACAGCCACAGCCACAGCCACAGATGGAAAGGTATAACCAACAGCCTGCCGCTCTCACTCCAAAGAACAACTCCCAGAAATCTA